AAAAAAAAAATCATCTAATCCTGAGTAAAAACCCATTTTTTCGATGTTCACCTCAGCTTAAATAAGCATGAAAATGCAGTTGCCCCGTCTTTTTGATGCAGCTTACGAGGCTCAGCAAAGCTAGCTATGATGGTTTTATGATACATGCTTGTGTCTGCTCTTGCTTAGATTAAGGGACATACAGCTACTTTAGAATCAAAGCTCTTTTGTAAGCCAGGCTTCTTACTTTTGGAATAGTGATCAACTTTTGTGCATTCATAATTAGATCACTTTCAACAAGATCCCCAACAACAGTGGATGAAATACAGCCCCTAACTATGACAGAACCTCCACTGTGTGTAACAGATGGCTGTAGAGACACATTTTTATACCTGAATCCTGAAGCTCAGAAGAGCCCAAGAGAAGACGTCACCTCTTCAGTTGACAGGAATGATTTTGTGAATGCAAATTTAAAGAAGTCGTGCTTGTTCTGCAGACTCATGAATTACCTCTGACATGCACAGTCATGATTCGCTGCCTGACAAGCATAAACTTTCTTTAAATGCTTCTGGTTCTCCACTTTTGGAGTGTCCGAGTTCTGAAACTGAGCATAACAAAGAAGCCACCTGCGAGTCTGACAGTCTGTGGCTACGAGAAAGTTTATTCCCACAAATGAAAGAGTTGAGGACAGTTAACACAAGCAAGTGAGCAAGAAGTTTTTATCCCTAGGCCAATATTGAATTTTGCTCGAGAAACAACTGCCCCTCCTGTCTTATTGTCTTATTTTGGCTTTAACAGTGTTAATTAGACTAAAACGATTAGTTTCCAACCATCCTAATTAGAGTCAAGGGACTGATTAGAATTGATATTAATTATGCTGAAACTTAATTCAGCTGGACTAATTTAATTCCACTATAACTAAATTAAATATGGTTATTCTTTCTAAAGTATGTTGGAAAGTAACGAATAATGGTAAGGGATATATATATATATATATACACATACATACATACATATATACACACATATATGT